AACTGTACGGCAATTTACTTGACGTACCCAAAATTTTTGATCGAGTGTTTTTATAGATAGTCGGTTGCCCCTCCCCCCACGAGCGCCCTCTGTAATGCGACCTAAGCCTGAAGGAGTTCCCAAAAGTGCCCGCCTTTACAAGATTTGGTTTCTTGTCTAGTTCACAGACCTCAAAGTGGACAAGAAGCTTTTGTCTAACGTGGCGATGATGAATTTGTCGCGAATGACCCCTATCCAGAGGCATGCGATACCATTGTTGCTGTTGAACTCCAAGGAAGAGGACATCACATCACCCACTACAGTTGGCCTCCTTGACCTGATGGCAGCCGCTCAAACGGGTTCCGGAAAGACTTTGGCCTACCTTCTACCCACTCTCAGTCGAATGATGTCAACTTACCCTGCAGAAGCAATGAATGCACTGGTAAGCGCACTATAGTTCGTCTGGCAAGATCTTCTATCATTTTCTGCGTTCGAGAACTGCAATTTGGATATCGCAAATTCTGCCAAATAGTTTCTGTGAACTTCTCTAACCAACCTTTTTGTCACCTTAGGTTATTGGGGGACAAAATCATGATTGGAAGATGTAGTCCAACCTTTCAACTGCTTATTCTGTTCGCTCAATCCTCCATCTGAGAAAGCACTGAGTAATGCCAGGGCTATGCCTTTCCGGCTCATGAGATCTCACTAACTCCAGACGTCACACTGAATGTTGAAGGCCGATTTGTAGGAGGCGGCTGGGAGGGTGGGTAGTTGAGGAATTAAGTGATACATATTCACCGATCGTTTCACGCAGATTTCATTTCTGCCACCGTCTAACTTAAATATCGATTTTAATACTTCATTCGTCAACCTCACCATTTTAGCTGTTTTCGCTTATCTGGTGATCAGATCGTGCATGACACATGTAGCTGACCTGTTTAGCCCCGTCAACCACTACACTCACGACCACCTACGGCCATCTTGTTATCGGAGTAAGGTGGGTGAGGGACGAGAGTGTGCGGTAGATGCAGTGTAAGTCTGTCTCACCAAGACCTAATTCCCGCGCAAGTTACTGGTGCGATGACCACTCCATGGAGCGCGCGGTGTGTCTTCGCTTGGGACATTTAAACTAGAGAATGCCTCAGCATCTTTGTCAATGATTTTCCGAAATTCTATGTGAGTGTTATAAAGGGGGAAGAATTGTGGTTGAAAAGAAATGGCATTCCTTAAGTGGGAAGTGGTTTAGTCAACAGAACTTGAAATAAATATAGTCTAGTAGACATAACCGCTAACTCGACCCGTAGCCTCCAAAAGCCGAGTTTTCTACTCTGAATTAAACCCCTAAAAACTTGACGAAAAATAGCTTTGAAATCTTCTGGCGAGACACTGAGACTAAAGTAGAGGTGCTAGTGTTTTATAGATAGCAACCTGCCTCAGATGACGACATGCCGTCAACCTCTCCACTTTTACACCTTCCTCCATTTTCCCTAGCATTTGTTTAGTCCCTAGTCGACTTACTCCTCTCCGTTTTGCCTTTCGCTTGTAGGCGGACAGCAAATATACAGTTCAGTATCCAACGGCCCTGATTTTGGCTCCCACTCGTGAACTCGTCAATCAAATTCGTATGGAGGCCAGCAAGGTTTGTTTGCCACCTCTCTTACGCTGTTTTGTATTGGTCCTAGTCTAGCATGCAGTAGCAGACGAACCTATTGGTAGGATATCGTCCATTACTCCTTCGTGAATTAACCAACTCACATCAGACCATCGTCCCCGCTGACATGTAACGACGAGCGTACTTGCCTCCTGTCCACGATCCTTCCCTCAAAACTGTCTCTGCCACACTATAGCTCGAAATGAATGTATTGCACCGTGAAGTAAGCGGGCAACGGGTCACAAGGAAAAACATAATTTAAAGCTGGATCCGAGTACGTTTAAGCAATTAGAGGTTATCATTTTAATGCGAATACAGCCAACCTTGAGTATTAATGAAGAAGATACATCCTAGCGGGAGTGCTTTGTTTGAGGTCTGACGTTTCGAGTCGTGATTTCGCCACAGAGCCTTTTCAGGTAGACAACCTAGATGGTATAGGCAAGAAAAATGTTGACTTTAACAACAATTTTCAGCTGCCCATAATACTAGCCGTTGTGTGAGTGCTGGCGGAGCTCGAGAGTGTGCTCTAAGGCAGAGCGGAGCGAGCGATTCACGTGACAGATCGGTGTGTTCATCCACAAACTTATTGAATGTCTCAGTACCGTAAACCTATTATGCAACTGTTGGCCTTCCACAACTCTCCGTTGGTTCTGCTTAGTTGGTATATTCATCCAGCAGTTAACAAATTATCGAACCCTGCTGTGGACTAGCGGATTATTCGGTTGCATTTGAATTACAGATGCCTGAGACGCGCTAATTTGGCCAGAGTTTCCTGCGACCTAGACTGGCAGCCCTAACTGCTCAGTTTGGATGACTACTCGTGAGGCTCAAGTCAGGGAGTCAGTCTTATTCCTCACTTCATTTTCGGAGTAAATGCCTCTAAGTGGATACCGCCTCATGGATATTTGCTGCATGTGGTTCAACTAGCAGAAATTCGTACGACTGACAGATGATAACTGACTTGTCTGCTGCGCAGAATTTTGGCATCGCTATTGCGCTATTACCTGTCCTATCGCATGGATCGCTGACACACCTTAGCAGATTATGTGGGCTTTGGTGTTGTTGTTATTGTTCTATTCTTGCGTCACAACGTCTACCAAAGTGTTTACATTACAATAGTTCATGCCATAACAGTCTCATTTGTGGAATTCTTAACTTTCCTTGCTCATTTGTTTCCCCTACATGACCGCCGTTCTTGCAGCTGTGCTACAGGACATACGTCCGTCCCGTCGCTCTGTTTGGCGGAGAGAGACCAGATCGTCAAGTGAGCGAAGTTGGGCGTGGTTGTCATCTGACTATTGCAACCCCCGGCCGTCTCTTAGACTTCCTTGACCGTCAAGTTCTCAATCTATCTCATTGCAGGTCAGTGCATGCAACTTCTAAAATGTCCCCTGCTCAGTCACTGCTTTTTCACATTTCGGGGTTTTATGAGGAATTGCTACACTTTTTGAAAGTTTTCTCAAATCTTGTCATTTAGTTATCTTATCATGATGACTGAAAACAAGAAAAACGACGGTCCCATACCCAACAATTCCTTAATTGTTTATTAAGAAGCAACCTTTCTACAACCATTTCCCTCTATGAGTTACCCTAATTGGCGCGGTAAACGGCCCTTTCCGCCCCCACCATCTCAGTGGCAGGTCATTATTCGTAAAAATTAGATGAATATTTAGTATCCATAGTTTTCGGCACGTCGCACACTTAAGTCGCGAAGGAGCCTACTGAAAATGAATGCTAAAATAAGCCACAGGTGCTCTTTTTAATCTCCCCACGAATTAGCGTGCCAGATTAGAGTAAGTGTTTAGAAGCAAAGCTTTTTTAAGGCTCGATCCGAAAGTTAATATAAACAGTTGAGCTAAGATCCATCAGCTATTCTGGAATAATCGCGTACCATTCACACGCTGCAAAAGGCAGCCTGTAGTATGCCGATGCTGCATAATTTACCTGCGTGTTTTACCGACCTTGAAATCGCTGCTTGCCGTAGCTGCGAGAGGCTCGGCCAATCATTAGGTTGTCTGGCGTTCATCACGTGCTTTCTGCTGCTTAAGCTTCAGTTTTTTAAATCCCGTATTTTTTATTTTCCTTTTTTTACTTTCAACTTTCGCCCCGAAATAGTAGACGCTGTGGATGGTTTAACGCCTACTGCAAATGTTGCCGTTACCCTGCAGTCATTTACTAAAAGTTCACACCGCCCTTCGGGCTTTCTGACCAGAAATATTCATTGATGTACTATGCGCTGGCCAAGTCCAGATGAATACCACGCATATGTGATCAGTAATTCATCAAGGCCCTATGTGCCAGTAGGCTCCCTGTCCAAGTAGGATTTCCCAAGCAGTCAATCTGTGGTTTACCGGGTGACTATCAGATTCACTTGGTAGGTTTATATAATTCCTCTGACCAATTTGCAAAAATCTCTGCGGTCTCGTCAGGATTCAAACTCACGACAACAAAGGCAGGGCTTGATTACAGTCAACTGTCTAACTACTTGAGCTACAAGGCTTCCACTGTGAACCATAAGTTTAGTCATATCCGGGTCGCCTTACGCGTCCAGCTTATTCCAACGTATGAAATCCACCAATTCTTATACAGCAAGCTGACTGCCAAGGCAAGATTTGCTACCTTCTCGCACCGCTTGTAGTCGGAGTCCCACACAGACGGGAAGCAACCTTTAGGCGTCATATGATGAGACCAAAAGACCTGTCGCCGCAAGAAACATCCGGAGTCGTCTGAAGGATCTGGTGCAGTTGCGGACAAAGCAACAACGTCGTAGAAACTGAAAGGCTTCT